AAAATCAAGATGCAAACGCATAAGAAGGCTAAAGTTGAGACGGATCCTAGACCAAATCACATAATGTGCTATTGGAAAGAAGACTCAATAACTCCAGAAATAGAAGAGGCACTGCACATGAGACTAGAGCGTTCAAAGATATGAAACAAAACTACAAAGACTAAAGCGGACCAAACCGGTAGACCCCACGTGACGGGAAAAATGCAAGGATAAAAAAAACAAGAGCGGACCCAAACTTCGAAGCAAGAAAAGGAGTCGTAGGCATAGAAAATCAAAAATAAAAACTTAGACGACTCAAAAAACCAAGAACGTAGACGCCAAGTAAATGCTAACTAAATCACTGAAAATTACCCAGCAAAAATGAGATAAAAAAGTGCCAAGGGTCCAGTCATTGCAAAAGGGTTAGCAAATCCTATGTAGACGTAAAGCGAAACGAAATTGAAAACTAAACAAACCGAAAACCTTTCAACACTCACCTCTTTCTCCACAGTCACAGCCGCTGCTTCTTTGTCACTTTCCAAAACGCTGATTCTTTTCTTGAGATTTTCAACATTGCACCTAAGTGAGAACATTTTTTCTGCGCAGAAACGCCCATATACGGCTTACTGTAATTGTCTATTCCTTTCTTCCAAGTAGTTGTTCTGATCGAGTAATAATTTCTTGTCTTTATTGATAGTAGAAGTTCCATTTGCCGTGACATCATCGGCTCCTTCAGTTGGGACGGTTGGTATGCGTATGTATAAGGATAGATCGACGCTTAGCGGTTGATCCTGAAACGCAAATCCTCAAGAACAATGGCGTGCAGTTGAAAATGGACAAAGACAGACCTGTAGATGATCGTGCTCTAACACTAAATTGCAATCGACAACTGACAACCCAAGCAATGCCCCGGTAAGCTGCACTATCTCTTCTTGTCGCAAAAGAGCCCAGGATTCATAAAACGTGCTAAAATTACCGATTAAAAACGCAAAACAAAAAAAAAATAAACGAATAAACGAACGAACCTCAACTGAGGCGAGTTGGCAATAACATTGAAAAAATCGAAAAGCTTCTTCTGCATCATGGCTAATCGAAGGAAAGCCCGTAGACGAGAAATTGGCGTTCTGTAGTCAATAAAATTGGTGAAATGGTAGAAATTAGATGAGATAAAGCAAACATACAGTAATGATTCGATTTGATCGACACACGTTACCGTCTCCAACATAGCCGGATCTGCTCGCGCTATTCGATTTATTGCCGCCCACATTTCTGCATCCGGACTTCTGAGCACAATCAGTGCTTTTTGTCCTATAAGATGGTGGTTCTGATTATTAATACGGAAAACAAAATAAGCGCGAGCTCTTGCGCAGTTAAATTTCAAATCCAGCCTTTCCTTCGAAGAACGATTAAAAAATCTGTTTGCAACGCAAGCTATCAAGGTAGAAAACCAGCAATCAAAATTCAAAAAAAAA